ACTCCTGTTACTCATAGTTAGTATTGATTCAGGAATACATAAACTCCTCCTCCTACTACTCCTCCTCCTTCTCTACCCTCATGGGGAGATGTGGGTACTCTGTCCAAAGGAATATAATTTTTGGTCACTTATATATTGTAAAATGTCTTGGGGTTTGAGGAGTAGATTTTTTTAAATTTTAATTTCTCATTTATTTAACTTTTTTCTAAAAGCTGGGTCAATTAACTCTTTTTCTTGGGCAATTTTCATTTATGAAATATAGATCTGAAAAAACAGGCTTTGGGAAAGGCTCATTATGATTCAAAAGGAGCTGTTTGACTAGCCTTTAAACCCAAATCATTCTGGCTTTCATCAAATAGCCAACAACAGGTCCCATTCCAAGCCTTTCTCGCTCATTGTTTAGGTTTTGATGGCTCAGAGTGAGTGTAAGTAGCAATTGTTTCCATTCTGGCCAGAAACTCTAAGATTCTTCCTCTCCCAATTTGCATTCTTTTGTGATGGCAAACTAAGCCATCTTTTGTCTGGATTCTTTTCTAGCCCTTAATCATTGAATAGGCATTGTCTCAGACAAACTGAGACCTGGGAAAGACCTTAGTTTAAAAAGGCCAAGGTCATCCACTGCATCCTGGGTCAATTTGACTTTTGTCTTGCCTCTGGGCTCTGATGACTGCAGCTCTGGCTCACTTAAATTCAACTCATATACAAGTCAAGACATCACCTCATGATGTTATTGGTCCTCTTCAAGAACAAAGGATGAACAATAATAAATACAAACTCCCAACTCTTAAGGTAATTTTCAGAGTCAAAAAATCCTTCACTCAATATTTCTATTCAGTTATTTACACTCGGGGAAAGAAATACAAAGCCAGGGGCCCAAGGTCCAACCTCAAGCTCACTGCCATGTCTGTGTCTGAGCAGCCACCATTATTGTGTTTGGGAGGCAGGGGCAGGAGCAGGTACAAGAGAGAAAACATGAATCCCTCCTCCCCGTTGCAAAAAGTCTAAGGGAGGGGCTCAAAGGAGTTGTGACTTGCTTAGGACATGGGAAGAGAGAGAACACCAGAGGGCAGAATTACTCCCTTAAGTTCTGCTGAATGGACCACTCTTCCCTGGTTCAGTGGCCTTTTATTTAAATTAGTTCCCTTCCCTTGCTGTCATGATAGGGACCAAAGGATTACTGTGTCATCCCAAAGTCCTTTAGCACTGAACATATGTGTTCCTCAAATGGCCATGGGTGGTTGGCTCAGTTTCACTCATGCATTATGGGCATACTCTTAGCCACAGCAGATCAGGGAGATCCCTCCTAATTACCACCATTATTACATAACAGATTGTCTCATTTGACCTTCACAACAATGCTGAGGTGGGTACTATATAAGCTAAAACTTAGAGAGGGGAACCAGACCAAAGTCATACAGCCTAATCAGAGGTAAGATGTGAACCCAGGTCTTCTTGACTGGGTTCAGGAAAGCCAGGCCTCCAAAACTTATATTCCTTTTTATCTTGGATCACTTAGAACAATAGTGCAACCATAATATACTTGCACCACTTCCTTTGACCCATCCCCCTACTGCACTCCAGCCCTACCCCACCTGACTCTGGAGCAGTGAATCAACATTCTGTCAGGAAGCTGTTTTTTAATTTGAGCTTTCTTGTTTTTTGTTTGTTTTTGTTTTGTTTAGTTGTGGTCATTCTATACCTCCATCTCCCAAGTCGTGGTTCTGCCAAGTTCTAAGCCCTCTTGCATACAGTTGGCTTTAAAAGTTAAAGTGAGGATACAAGAACTATCATTCTAGATTACTTTGAAAATAGAAAGTGTCAACTCCACCAGTGCTGAGTCCAGTATGATGAGTGTGATGCCAAATAATTTCATTTTGAACAAGCTGAACTTGTTAAATCAGATAGACTCCACTGTACTATTTAAAGTCTGTGCTACAGATACCATATGAAAATTGCTGAATAAAAGAAAAAAGGAAATGGCTACCTCACATCCAGTAAATTAGCAAAGATGACAAAAGATGGGAATAGTCAATGATATGGACAGATAGGCAGACATATATATTGATGGAGATGTAAAAGTGGTCCATCCATTCTGGAAGGAAGTTTGGAAATATTCTAATGTCACCTCTGACTGGATAGGGGGCAGTGTCTACAAAGGGGCCCTGGCTCTGAACTTAAGGCCAAATTCTTTCTGGGACAGCCTGGGACAGTCAGAACATTATGTCTCTACCCCAAGATAGCTCTATGGAAAAAATCTCTAAAACAAAGCTAAGATATGGCCCAAGGTCTCTTCTAAAAAATAATTACACAACATACGAAGTAGTAGATAGCAGGTTTAGAACAGCTAGTTATTTTTCACCTTAAGAGAAATGCTTAAAGTCCCCAAACCTCAAGTGTTCATTAATATAACTTTAAAACATAAACTATGATCCATCTTCTCTATTACACTTTCCTTCAGAGATAAGAAATACCCCCAGGAGCCTTGCAGAGACTGAAACAGATTTCACTTTTTTTTTTTTTACAGTCTGTACTCTCCAAATAGCAATTTGAGCTTCAAATTTGCCCAGCCATCATGACTAGGGTTTCAGTTTTCAGGATGATTTTGTTGGTGGTCATCCCCTCCACCGAGTAACTATGCTACCATAGTTACTGCCAGTCAGCACCCAGAAACTCTTGGTCTCTCAAACTCACCAGGTAGTTCTCAAGACTGGAACTGCCATTCTCAGAGGATTGCTGTTTGGTCACCTGAGCTTGGAGAAAGAAAAACAAAGAAAGAAACACAAACTAGAAACTTGAGATCCTATCTCAGGCTCTTCCAGGCAAGCATGTGTTCTCACAGCTCAAAGCTGTTATTGCTGCTTCTAGGGAGTAGAAGAGAAGAAAAATTTCCTTTCCTCCTACAATGAAAGTCCAAGGGAGAAAGCTAACATTCGCTGTGTGCCTACAAAGAGGAAGCCTAGAAAAAAGGAGACCAGAAGCCATCTCTCCTTCCTCGTTTCTTAGTCAGGGACCAGAGCATATGTGGGCCAAGGTTCAGGCCCATCTTCATGCACACTCTACACTAGAAAGGGACTAAAATGTCCATTCTCTCTGACCCAGAGATCTTACTGCTAAACATATAGTACATTGAAATCAAAGACAAAGAACAGTCTAATATAGTGTAGTGGATAGGGTTGTGTAGACTTGGAGTGAAAAAGACCTAAGTTCAAATTCTTCCTTAGATAATTATGAGCTGTTGAAGAGGTATAGAGGTTTGGGGTTCTGCTGGGGGACCCCCAATTTTGTGATGGCAGGGCCCTGCCTGAATGAATTCAACTCAAATCTTCCAGCCAGAGGAAAAGTTTATTAGCGATAAAACACTTAGGCCAGGTGACACCCATGAGGATGAGCAGACATGAGAAAGTCTCAGCCTTTTGGGCATGAGATTCTCAGCGTCTGAATGGGGGGCCAGGGTAGATCTTATATACTAAAGTGACTTTGGGTGGCCAGAGGAGGGTCTGGGTGAGAATTCCATTGGATTGTCTAAGAGATTGAATAGACAATGGGAATAGATAATGAAGGAACTGAAAGGCATCTGAATGAGATCAAAAAGGTGGGGCTAAGACTTTCAAAGGGAAATAAGGGGAGTTGACAGGGGAGTCCATAAGGAACCTAAAATGGGAGCCAGCTTCTTTTTAGAGCAGGGGAAAAGGCACATCTGAATAAGATTAAAAGATAAGGCTAAGGTTTTCAAAGGGAGATGAGGGGCTGGGGCCCTTAGACAAATGGGAGTCAAGATTCCCTTTGGTGAAAGGGGCGAAGAAGACCTTGGCTTGGGCCACACCCCATCACTGTGATCCTAGGCAAGTTGCTTAACCTCTCTCAGACTTAGTTTACTCATCTGTTAACTTGAAATAATCATCACACCTCTCTCCTAGGGTTGTTGCAAAAGTTAAATGAGATAATATCTGTAAAATATTTTGCAATATTTGTACATGGCCATCAGCTGGGAAATGGCTGAACAAATTTTGGTCCATGAATGTGATGGGGTATTTAGAATAGTACAGCTTCATAAGAAACAATAAATATGAAGAATATAGTGTTGTATGAGAAGAATTATATAAAATTCACAAAATAAGCAGAGCCAGAAAAACAATATATACAATGATCACAACAATGTAAATGGAAAAAAATGAAACTAAAGACTGTAATTATAATGACTAAGCTTGTCTGAAAGGAAGAGAGATGAGAATGCAACTCCCTTCTTTACAGAGGTGGGGAACTGCTGATGTGGTATAATGTATATGTTGTAGGACTTAATCGATACGTTGGTTGGTTTTGCTAAACTGCCTTTTAAAATTCTTTGTTACAAGGGCTAGCTCTGAGTTGGAGAAGAAGTTACGAATATATTGGGGAAAGAAGGTGATATAAGAAAATAAATCAATAAAAACTTTTTAAAAGATGCTTCCAAACATATGGTTCTATTCATGTGCCTTATACCTGTAGTATTATCAGGGTTAATAAAGGGTGAATAAAGTGCTAAAGTTGGATTCAGGAAAGCCTGGCTTAAACGTTTGCCTCTGGCACTAACTTATTGTGTGACCTGGGCAATTCTTCTAAACTCTATGAGTGCCAGTTTCCTCATCTGTTCAATGGGGATATTAATATCTATACTACCTACCTCACACAGTTGTGATGGTTATTATTTTCAAATAAGATAAGTGTGTAAAAGCACTTTGAAAACCTTAAAGCAACATATGTGTCAGTTATTGTTATTATTATAACCATCATTACTCTTTCCATGACCATCCTTCAGCATTCCCTGGGGACTATAGTTCCATTCTTCCACCCTTGACTTTAATACTCCTCATATTTGAGGATGTACATGGACCCAGGGCTTGAATCCTTTACTTGTCTCACGGGGTCCATTGCCTGTAAAAAATCTGCTTGGGAAATGATGCCCTGAAGAAGATACAAATGGGTTCTCCCTAGGCTTATAGTTTACTTCCTTCCTTACTCAGGTTCCCACCAGGTGCCAAGCTGATGGAGAAGATCCAGGCCATTGCCCAGAATGTCTCTGACATTGCCGTGAAGGTGGATCAAATCCTGCGCAACAGTGTCCTGCACAGCAAGGGTGGGCCTCACTACCAGTTCCTGGCTATAGATATTTGCTTTCGCTTTATCCCAACCCCTTTCCATCTTCAAGTGTTTTCTGTGTAACAGAGCCCTGGAAGGGTGGTGATGGTCTCTTCCTCACAGGCTGAGAAAATTCCCATAAGTTCAGGTTATTGGACAAAGCTTCCCAAAGGTGGGACTTTTGGAAGGGTGGGGCTTCAGGGAATTGGTAACAGTTGATGGAGGAGGTGTAATCTCACGAGATTCAGGGTTAGCATAGCAACCTATCCTATTCCCCTAAATACCCTCCCTCCAACCCGGTCAGAAAGAGTTTTAAACTTGGATGGACAACAAATGGCAGAGGCGGGGGCAGTGTCTAAAGGACTCTTTACTGATTCAGCTGCTCTTAACACCAAGGGTAGCCCCTTGCTTTCTACATATGCTTAACTTAAAGAGATGAATGAGGTCACTGAGAAGGGATAGACCTGCTCCTATAGCTTTGCCTGAGAGGCTCAAGCTCAAAAAGATTTTGAGAGGATTATGTAAAAAGTATGTGTATGGTGGGGGGAGAAGGGGTAGAAAATACTCCGAACTTCCTCTATATTCAACACTCACTCACCCCCACAGTAAGATAATGGGGTGAGGTTTGGTCTGCCACCAGTATCCAAGTCCAACTTTCCCTAATACATGGGTGAACAGTCCATCCTGCTTATCGGATAAGACCGTTTACAAGAGTGAAATCTACCTCCTAAGAAAAGAAGTAGGGAATGGGGTGGGCAAGGATAAACAACTATAAGGACTGCCATCTGCTAGTCTGAGCATGGTTTGGGATCATGGGGAAGACTAGCATGAATCTGTTGACCCAATCCTATAAGCATACATGCTTACAATTCTTGTTCGAGAAGTGCTTAGAAAATCCATCTACCCTTCCCCTCCTATGTGAGACTGACTTATTCCTTTCTGGGGAGCAAGGTGTGCCTGGGGACCTTATCTTTCCACATTATCTACATTTTCCTTTGACCCTCCCCTCCTAGTGTATGAAGGCCAGCGTGATCAATGTGAGGTGCCCAATGACCCCAAATACCCAGACTGCTCTGGAAAGGTAGAGGTAAGTAAGCCCCAAATGAACAGGAAAGTATTCTGTGGGGAGGCGGTCAAGAAGGACGTGGATGATCCTTCAGTCAAAGTTATTTAAGAGAGGTATAGTATAGTAGAAATAAAGTGATCTTGGAGGTTTCAGAAAATGCTAAATACTGATGCAAAGATCAGGGCAGGTCCTATCTTCAAAATCCACCTAACAGAGGGTTAGCCTAAGGTGGTCCTGGAGATGCAGAGAAATTTCTATGTGTTCTCTTTTGAGAACAGATACAGAGAAAGAAAGAGAACATATAGATTTGAAGCCCAAAGAGACCTTGTAGTATAACCCTCTCATTTAGTAAGTCCCAGAATGATGAAGTCATTTTCCCAATCACACGGGAAATGAGTTAAATCAAGATTTTGATTCCTCTTACTCACAATCTAGAGCTCTTTCCAATGCACCACAATAACTGTGGTGGAGAAAAGACATATGAAATCTTAGGAGGAGGTGGCAGATGTCAGTGCTTATGAGTTACTCTTAATAATTCAATGGAAAGCATAGTAAGCCAGCTGCCTCTGAGGGCACATTGTCTGGCAGTGATGAGGGCGGGGCCCAAACCAAGATCCTCGCCCTTTGCCCCAAAGGGAATCTGACTCACAGGCCCCAGACCCTCATCTCCCTTGAAAGCCCTAGCTTACCTTTAGATCTTATTCAGATGCACCTTCAACCCTTGCCCTGAATAGAATCTGTCTCCTGTTTGTCCACAGGACCTGGAAAACCTTTAAACCTTCAAATTTCCTAATCCCCTCATTTCCCTTTGAAAGCCTTAGGCTCCCTCTTGTCTATGGGCCCCATAAAGGCCTTCCTTTATCTCCTTTTGAAAGTCCTAGCCCCACCTTGATTTTGTGCAGATGCCTTTCAAACTTCTGCCTTCCTGTTCCTCCATTATCTATTCCCATTGTGTATTCAATCTCTCAGACCTCCTCAATTAGAATTGTTACCTAGACCCTTTCCCAACCCCCTTCTCTGGCCACCCAAAGTTACTTTAGCTTTTAAGATCCACCTTGGCCCTCATTCAGGTGCTGAGAATCTCAGGCCCACAAGGCTGAGAACCTCTCATGCCCTCTTGTCCTTACGGGCATCACCCAGCCTATATGTTTTACCACTAATAAACTTTTCCTCTGGCTGAAGAAGATTTGAGTTGAATTCTTTCAGGCAGGGCCCAGTACCACGATCTTGGGGTCCCAGCACCCCAAAACCCCTAGACCTCTTCATATGGTTCCCTAACCGGGAAATAACTGCCAATCTCAAATGCTTCTTCAGCCACAACTGGTAAGCTAGGACTTTCAAGGGAGATGAGGGTCTGGGGCCTGTGAGTCAGATTCCCTTTGGGGCAAAGGGCGAAGATCTTGGCTTGGCCCCCCCCCATCAGCAGGGGGCCCTTTCTCCTCTTGAAATTATTGCTATATGGTATAGTAAATGCACTTGATTTCAGAAAGACCTGGATTCTTATTCCTATTTTAAACACTGGCTGTGTGACTTTGCATGAGTCACTTAACCTCTCCACCTCAATTTCCACATCTGTTAAATGGGGATGGTAAGGACTATGGTGGTGCCTAACTCACAGGGTTGGTACAAAGATCACTAAATAAATGTCAACTATTGCTATTATTATTAAAATCTTGGGGCAGTCGCATAACCTCTTTGGGCCTTGCTTCCCTGGTTTGTAAAATGAAGGGGTCAAACTAGATAAATAATCTCTAAAATCCCTTCCAGCTCTGATGTTCTGTCATTGCTCTTACTCTGGCTAATCTAATGAACTCCACCCCCACACCCTCCCCCACCCCTCCAGCTCCAGCAATGCTGCCAGAAGGCAATTGTATGCCCTAGGCAAAGTTTGAAAATTGCTCCCCTTGGGTGTTACTGTCCAAGGGAGGCTTTGTGCCTTTATATGCAACTAAACTTGTCACAAAATAATACCTATGTACCCTGGGGAATGGAATTTTCTGGTATGAAAAATGTATGAATTTTTAAAAAGTAATTTTAAGATGTCTCTTGTTGAAGCTTTTGCTTGCCCTCTCTCTTTCTCTCTCTCTCAAACACACACACACACACACACACACACACACAAGCGTGTACACACCATGTTTTGCACCTCAGCACACTTGGTTTATAGATGCAAAGCCAGAGGTACATCTCTAGCTAACAACAAGAAGCAGAAACTACTCAAATAAATCTTAAATCTCAATTCCTCCTACTGTGTTATATCTGGAACGTTGTGTCAAGCAGGTATGCATTACCCATACTTGGACCTATGAAGCTTTTCTTCTACCCTCACCACCCTAATCCTGCTAGCTCTAAGTGGATTCTGAAGATGGTCAGTTACTGTAACTAGAAATCCATCAGACCCTATTGCAACCACCACCATTATTAAGAAAAATAACTTTCCTGTGACAAATTCACAAATACCTCAAAGATTTTAAATGGTGATTTTATAAGAAAAAAAAGGAATTTACATGATAACTTCATTGTATATTTAAAAAGAATAGCAAGTTGTACCCTAATAGATTTGCAGCTTCATGTACTATCATCTTTTTTATTACAGTTATGGTAAAATAACATGTGACTGACTAAGGAAGTTACAAAGGATACAATTCTGATTTGGTAAATACTAAGTGTAAATACTAAGTAAAGATACTTTATTCTTAGCCCAGATTAAGTTTGGGGGTGACACTGCATCTAAGTGTCATGAGATCCTCAGTCTCTCAAAGATCCTGCCTGCCAGTTCTCTTTTTAGCTGGGTACCTTCAGGTTGCCTCCCTGGTTTTGGCCTCTACTTCACCTCCATTCTGTAGCTACCTTTGGCCTCTCAGATCCTACCGGGTTCCATATCCTCTGGCCCTCTAGAAACTGGTATTTTCCAACCCAGTCTCAAAGAGCCTTCCAATGGATTTTAGGCCATTCTGTACTGACCTTCCAAATTCCTTGTCTTGGACATTTCTATGCCTTCTTCTCTGGAAATACTAACTTTATCCTTTTAAAAAAAAAATATATATATATATATATATTTCTGGTGCAGCTAAGTGGCACAGTGGATAGAGCATTGGCCCTGGAACTCAGGAGGACCTGAGTTCAAATGTGAACTCAGACACATAACACTAGCTGTGTGACTCTGGGCAAGTCACTTAACCCAATTGCCCTCACCAAAAAAAATAAATAAATAAATAAATATATATATATATATATATTTCACTTAATTCAACAAACATTAAAGGCCTATGTACAAAGCATTATGCTACGTGCTGGGGGTACAAGAAAGAAAAGGGACACAATTCCTGCCTGCAAAGAGGATATAATCTAATGAAGCAGAGCAGGGGGAGACAGGATATAGCATGCATTCAAATAAAAATGGTGTAAGGTAGAAGGAGCAAAGGAGGGGTCCCCCAAACTGGACCATGCACCAAAAGAAAAAAAATGAGGGGAGAGACTGTTTTCAGCTCTATAGGTCAGGGATGGGTTCATGGAGGTAACCAATCTTGGCCTTGAAGGAAAAAAAAACTAATGAAAAAGGCATATGAGGAGGAAATATGTTCTAGGTATCATAAGACAGACTGCAAACATGTAGAGAGAGCAGGAGGAGATTGAAGAATAGTTCACAGCATAATTGGCTAGAATGTTGTATGAGGGAGTGGGAGCAGTGGATTTCCTATTTAGGTTTCCCTGGAACACATTCACCACGTGGTGAATGTTTCATGAAACTTGATTTCTTCATCTATTGTTCTAAGCTGGCATCTTGCATAGTCCTTTAGTATCTGTATAGCCTTGGTGGAGGATACTATTTGTCATGGAAGCCTTTCTCTGAAATTAACCGAAATTAACTTTCTCTGACTTCCAGAAACAGATTGTTTTTATTTTCATGTTTCAAAGCCTTGTCCCTTTTGAGAGTCCATTAAATTCCAGCTTTCTAAAAAAATATCTTTAGCTCTGAGCTCATTAACAGAACAGGAATGACTAATATTGGAATATGCTCCCTTCTCACCAGTACCTCCTAGAATTCCTACTTCCTTCATGAGGCCTTTCCTGATCATTTGTTATTTGTTGTTCAGTCCTTTCAGTCATGTCCAACTCTTTGTGACCTCATTTTGGGATTTTCTTGGCAAAGATACTGGAGTGGCTTGCCATTTCCTTTTCCAGTGGTGTAAGGTAAACAGAGGTCAAGTGATTGCCTAGGGTCACACAGATAGTAAGTATCTGAGGTCACATTTGAACTCAGGAACATGTCTTCCTGACTTTAGGACTGGCGCCACCTAGCTGCCTCTCCTGATATTAGTACTCTCTTTCAAAATTACTTTTCATAGGCTTTGTCTTTGTTTACTTCTGTATGTATATTTATCTACTTCTGTCCCTTATAGAATGTAAGCTTCTTGAGGGCAGGAACTCTTGTTTTTTTGCCTTTGTATATCCAATGCCTACCACAGTGCCTTGCAAATAGTAGGTATTTTAGATGTTTTTGGAATTTGTTGACTTGAATTCCTTGATTTCACCGACTGGTTGAGTTTTCAGGTTTCTAGTTCTGACCATGTCCCTAATTTCTTTTTGCTGATTTGTCTCTCAAGTATTTTCAGAGGAGCCAAACTTTCCCCATTAACTTCTTATGGAATGAGATTATTTTAAGCACAAATTAAAATTATATGCAAAATTTCCAAGAAGGAGAAGAGTTGCCTCATGATCAACCTTTCATCTCTCCTGTCAGAGGGAAGTGAAACCCTATACTCAAGCTTTTTCCCAGCCTGTGGTCCCAGGCAAATTGTTTTTCTTGGTTAGTTACTCTCAGGATTGCCCTAAGAGGATAATAGTCTAGTTCCCCAGCTCTTTCCTTCTCTTGCCATTGCCTTTGCCCTTGCCCTCTTGCTCCGGTCCATCCTCTCTGGCAGCAGGGGTTTATTTATCCAGGTCTGTTGTGACTGAAATGAAATGTGAAAAATGGCTGCCCCATTAAATATTCCAGAAATTGCCACTGAATAATGATAACTCTGCATACATCTGGAGGAGGGGGAAGGGTGTAATACCTGCAGGGTTTCACCCTTGTGGTGAGTAGTTCACTCAGGAGAAAGTATGGCACAGTATAAAGAATACTGGATCTATAATCAGGAGAAATATGTGTTTAATCCTGCCTTTGACACTTATTAGCTTTGTGACCATGGGAACATCACTTAATGTCTCACATACTCAGTTTCCTCACCTACCAAGTCAGGACTTACCTCACAGGGTTGTTGTGAAGGTCAAATGAGAAAATGTATATAAAGTGCTTTAAAAATACAGTTAATTTTGACTCACCTGTCCACACTTTGGGACTTTGTCAGGAGATTAATAGAATCCAAGATCATAGATCTAGGGCTGGGAGAGGCTTCAAAGAAACAATCCCCTTATTTTATAGAAGAGGAAACTGAGTCCCATGGAGGTAAGATGACTTGCCCAAGATCACACACATAGTAACCAGGATTTTAACCCAGGGCCTCTAAGTCCAGAGCTAGTATTCTTTTGACTATACCATGCTGCCTCTGGAGTTCAAGGAAGAAGTATACTACTGCTCCATGCACTATCAGGGTCCCTCTGTGAGAGGAGAGAATAACTAAAATACTAGGATTGCCAATGTCTTGTTCCTTTCCCCACACCTCCCCATCTCTACCTTGCTCTTGGCTCACTCACCTTTGTTACTGGAGAATGAACTGAAGTTTTACTTAATTACCACAAAGTCTCCTGATGGTCTCCATCATAATTAAGCCAACTAATTCTACTGTGGGGAACGGGGTCAGTATTGGGAGGTAAGGGTTAGAGCTTGTTCTCTTGAGTCTGAGTTTCATTCCTTTCTGCAGTGGATGCATGCTCGATGGACTTCTGATCCCTGTTATGCCTTCTTTGGTGTGGACGGCACTGAGTGCTCCTTCCTAATCTACCTCAGTGAAGTAGAGTGGTTCTGTCCCTTAATGTCTTGGAGGAATCAATCAGCAGTGTTACCTGCCCCTAAGCCCCTGCCCAAAGTCCAGGTAAGGATTTTGCATGACAAAATTGTCCAGGTAGTGGGACCAATGGAAGACCATTAACTTGTATCTATACACTTCCTCCACCCACCCCACTCCCACCTCCATAGGCAGGAAGCCTTGTAGATTCTGGGGCCTGATCAGTCTGTAAGATGTAGCCTTCTCCAGGTCACTCCCATATCCAACTGAAAACTATCATGTCAACTGTCCACATCCACCTCCTTTCCTATCTCTGGTCAAGAAGTTCCCAGATATATAGGCAGTTCAGATCACTCACAGGCCTGTTTTAGGGTGGGAGCCCTAGAGGCCCATCCTATGGTGGACCTAAATTCATTGAGTGGAATCATAACTGATCCAGTCCCTCAGCTAAGGCCAGGGAATCACCTTGAGACTAGTTTTGAAAGGAACACTTTGACTCAGACCCTTAGTGCTGGGGCTGGTCTTTTGTCCTTCTATTCCTGTCCCAGAATCCAGCCTCACATTAAATCTGGAGACACAGCAACTGTGGTTCTAAAGGTGTCTCGTTAACCAGGAATGGACAAGTCATAGTGGAACCCAGGTCCTTGATGGTCAATCAATAAACATTTATTAAATGCTATAGGGCCTGGGGATACAAATGCAGAAATGAAACTATCCCTACCCTCAAGAAGTTTCCAATCTAAAAGTCATGGCCATTTTAAAGAGAGTTTTGGTGTAGGCCATTACAGCTACTCAGGGTGAAGCCATAAGGCAACAGATTATCACGTCATTTCCAGTGGCAATGGTAGTATTGATTTATTATTTCCAGAGCAAGTGCAAGAAGCCAGAAAGAGAAGATGGGCACATATGTGACAAGATGCTCACACTGAGTAGGGTCTGGTATCCTGGAGTATAGTTGGATAATTAGAGATTAATTGACACTTCCTCCCCCAAAACTATTGGGTACAACTGTCCCACACTAAGTATCAATGTCTGCATCCTCTCCCTCGTCTCATCCCCTATAGGCAGCTTTCAGGAGCAATCTCTCCCACCTCTTGGAGCTGATTGGAAGTGGGAAGGAGTCACTGATCTTCATGAAGAAAAGGATCAAGCAGTTGGCAGCTCACTGGGCTCTGGCAGCACGACGCCTAGAAGCAAAGCTAAAAGGAGCCAGGAGAGACCAGAAGCAGGTAGATGGAGAAGACTTCCTCTGGGGCTATGCCAGGAGATTCACACCCTGATGTGGGACTGTGTTCTTGCCCTGTCACACCCCGACTTCAGTGCCACCAACTCCCATGCGGAAAGCTATATGCACCATTTAAGACAAGTAATATTGACCCCCTTCTTCTCTCTCACCTCACCATGATGCCCCAAGGTAGTTAGCTTGAGGGGAAATTCTTACTTGCCACACCCTCTGCATGTCCTAAGAGATCCTTCTTGGAGCTCCTAAGCTTAGACTGATTTTCTATTGTGGTCCTTATACTGCCTGGACTATTGTCATGGAATTGTCTGTCTTTATGAGCAACAGATTTCCTGTCACAGTGAGTACATAACAAATCAAGATGAAAGATAAAGTACTACAGGCCCCCCAAACTTAAGTTTGGATTTCTTAACTACCAGCCACAAGCAGGCACTTGACAAATGGAATCCCCAAAGCCAAGGGGATAAGCAGGTGCATGAATTAGGACAGGTCACTTCCAAAGCCTAGGAGAAGGGTAGGACATGTGGTTTATGGCCTGCAGGACAGCCTTTACACTACATCTTTCTACTATTAGTAATAGGAGCAGCAATGATCTTGTATTTGGGGGATTTATCTGGCTTACACTGGATAGCTTGTTCTACCCTGCTCATAAGGTCTCCCCATCTACTTCTTGGTACCTATCTGCTTTGCTGCCACATAAGAAATCAATTCTAGTTTAGAGATGGCATCTGCTACTGATCAGCTTCCCCAGACTCCTGAGATAGGATAAACCTACCTAGATGAAGCTTTGATTTTTTTTTTCTTTACACTGACTCGCTCTCTTCTCTCTTGGCTTCAGATCCTCATCCATATTGGTTTCTTGACAGAGGAATCTGGGGATGTGTTCAGCCCAAGGGTACTGAAAGGGGGACCCCTGGGTGAGATGGTACAATGGGCAGACATCCTAGCTGTCCTGTTCGTGCTGGGTCATAACCTGAAGATCACTGTGTCCTTGAAAGAGTTGCAGAGGTGAGTGTGTGGAAGAGTCTATTGCAGAGGTAGAGGTGAAAAGTCACCCTGGTTTCCCTTGGAAAAAAGTACTGCAGGGGTCTCAGTTGTTCAGCAAACTGGGTTAGAAAACATGAACTCTGGAAGGCCTAGTCAAGCCAAAGATATTAAGATCTGTGACCATCAGGAAGAATTCCTGCTGTTCTGATTAAACTTCTCAGTCTAAAACTTTCTATTGTACATGTCTATATTATTCTTCCTCAGAAGTGAAATGTTTAAAATTTTGAAATGCACTGAGGCCATACATATATCTTTTTATTTGAAGGGAATTTCCCGCCCAGAAGTCTTACTTCTAAATAAAGTGAAGTTCTATTAATTGTTTCCAATATCTGGCAATATTAGCTTGATAGGATTGGATGGAATTGTATAGGTCAACTCTCCTTTGCTTCTCTGATCCTGATGGGAACTGGTGCATAGGCTTCTTTAGGATTCCCCACACTGGGATGCTTCTTGGCCCCATTCTAGCACACCATGAGTAAGTTGAGCCTGAGGTCAGAAGTGTCAGCTAGTGTTTCTTTACTCCTCTCCTGACTATTATAAATAAGTCTGTAGATGGAGGCAGAAGGCTAGAGAATTCGAGGTTATTGCCTTGGGCCTCTGAGAAAACAGTCATTCAGAAGTAAATACAGGGACCTTGAGAAGGAAGGAAGACTAATATATAGAGAGATTTCTATTCTGTGGTTTCATTTGTCTCTCAAATCTTCTTTCCATCGGTATTTTCCTAAGGGTCCACCGTAGTATACAAAATACAAAAATGCACAAATCACTGGCAAATGAATTAAACCTACTTTTTCAGGCTATTGTTGCCTCTTTTCAGTAAGCTTCTCAGTTAGCATATTATAGATGATGTCTGAATCCCCACTGTGCATCTTGAAGGATTATCAGTTCTAGATGTATTCATGAGGTCTTCCCTTTCTTTCCCCCTTCAAAACACTCAGAAAAGCATAGATTTAGAGCAGAAGGAACCTTGGAAGTAATCTGGTCCAACTCCCTTATTTTATGAACAAAGAAACTGAATTTGAGAGAGAAGCTTGTACCAGGTCATACACTAGTGGTAAGTGGCTAAATCAGGATTTGAATCCTTGTCCATTACCTCCAAATGCAATATTTCTTCTCTTATACAATACCATCTATCTTTGAGTCCCTTTCCCCATACAATAACAGACTCAGATCCCCCATTTTGGCAAAATGTTAACAATAATAATTAGTCACATTTCTATATTGCTTTAAGGCTTGTAAAAAAGCTTGGCATGCATCATTTCATTTGATCCTCTCAATTCCCCTCTCAGTTAAGTATACTATAGGTATTACTATCCGCATTTAGAAGTGTAGGAATTTGGAGCAGAGGATGTGAAAAGGAGAGGAGTAAGTGCTGAAATAGGAGCAGGTGAAAAGTTGTTCAAGATAAGTTTTGTCCACTTCACAATTTTGCTTAGGGTCAACCCTGCATAATGTTTATCAATCCTGCATAGTGTTATCAATCCTGTTCCTTCTAGGTAGTGCACACAAATAAAGGGCTTGGGTTTTGGAGCTGTCCCAGAATGGTGGTGCTGAAGGAAGAGAAGGTGCAGAGAGATAGAACCAGCCTTTTTATAGAATCTTGCTGTTTCTATTGTGTGAAACCTTTCTCTACTGAGTTGTGTATATGTGTTACCTGCCAGAGAATAGGGTTGCTCACTGAGACAGAAACATAGTTGAACCCAAGTCATTCCCAACACCGCTTCCTATAATTAGAAATACCTTCCAGCTCCCGCCAAACAGAGAGCTTGAGAGATTTATTGACGGTCTGTAGGAATAAATTCAACATAGCCACTAAATTATTGTAAATAATGAAAGGGAAATTTTCCTATGCTTGTGAATCTCTTCAAGCTGCTGAGAAAGAAGAGTCAGAAATTGGGAGGTGGGGGAGGAATGCTTAGGGGGAGGTTGTTTGCTAAGTTGCAAAGGCTCTGTATACCATTGATTTTATACCAAGTGATTATAACAGCATGGTAGACTTGTAGCATCAATGCCTATAGCTTCAAAAAGGTACCTAGGCTAAATACAGGGGCACTATGGTTTGGTGGAGATGATATTGCTTTGAGAGTCAAAAGTACAATACTGTAATTTTAATTACATTAATTACATATTATCTGGACTTGGGCAAGTCATTTAACCTCTGGACCCCGTTTGTGATATAGGGACAATACAGTGGCCTATTCACACATCTATGAGATGCTGTTGATCACAGAAACACAGAATTGGGGAGTCAGTGGTCTTCTAGTCCAACCTGTACATAAAAGGAATCCCAATAAATGGCCATCCAGCTTCTACTTGAAGATGTCTATTGGGGGGAAACTTACCTATCTAGAGATACCACTCTTGTGTTGCTCTAATTGTTAGGAAGTTGTTTTTTATTCTGACACCATGTAAATTTTCTTTTTTGCAACTTAAACCCTTTGCTCCTGGGTTCTTCCCTCTGAATAAAACAGAGAAAATTAGATTTCTTTTAAATATTTTAAGAATATTATCATTTTTCCTCAAGTCTCTTCTCTAGGCTAACCACCATTTATTCCTTCAATTAATCCTCAAATAACATGGATTCAAGGACCTTCACTATTCTGATTGCCTTCCTAGATGTTCTCCATCATGTTAATGTCCTTCTTAAACCACAGACTCCTGAACTGAACACAGTATTCCAGATAAAGTCTGGTGAAAGCAGAATACTAATGGACTATTGCCTCCCAAATCCTGTAAGCTATGCCACTATGGTTGCAACCCTGGATTTAATTAATTACCTTTTTTGGCCTCAACATCACACTGCTGACTCCTGTTCAGCTTCCGGTCCACTAAAACACCCAGATCTTTTTCAGAACAATTGTCTAACCATTCCTTTCCTGTCTTATATTTGTTAAAGTGAATTTTTATACCCAAATGTAAGATTTTATGTGTATCCTTACTGAATATTACATTATTAGAATTAGCCCAATATTCTAGCCTGTGATCTAGGCTTGGATTCTGACTTTGTTATACAACATGGTAGCTTTCCCAACTAGCTTAGTGTTATCCACACATCTGACAAACAGCCACCTATGCCCTTTTCCAAATCATTGATTTAAAAAATGTTAAAGCACAGCCCCACGTACATCTCTGAGGTATTCTACTGGAGACCTTCTGCCATCTCAACATGAAACAATTAACAACTATTCTTTTAATTTAGCCATCCAATCAGTTCCAAATCTATCTAATTATATTATCACCCAATCCACATCTCTCCATCTTCTCTACAACTCTGTATTATGTCCATTGATCAGCAAAGATACCATCTCTAAATCAGTGAAGATGGAGTCATTGGGTTTAGTGGTCCCAGAATGAGATTGTTCTAAATAGAAAATTCATTTCAATTCAACAAACTTTTATCATGCACCTACCACTTGTAAGTGCTAAGCACTAAATATAAAAAGACAAATACAAAACAGTCCCTGGCCTCAAGGACTTTATTTCTTATTGGGACAATACAATATGTACATAGACAAGTAAATGCATGGTGAAATGTTCTCATACCTCAACCCAACTCTAATACCTCAAGTCACTCACAGAGAGATCCCAGATCTCCTTTCACCTATACTCTTGGACGTTTCTCTGTAACATGTGTTTTTGCTGTACTTTTTTGCATATTGGAAATTTTGAGAAGAGTATGATCCAGTGAAGAGGCAACCTCCAATTCTTCATTTGTATTAATTAAAAGGATGGTCTCAGTTGCTCACTGTCATAACTGGTTTGTACCAAGACAGATCTAATTTCTGTCCACTAATGCCATGTGAATATGTTTGCCAATGTGAGATCTAGCTCAGGTAAAGCAAAATTTTGTAAAGAGCATATCAATCTCAGGGAATTTTCTTGAGGACATGTTTTCTAAATCTCACAAGGTACAGAAAAAAAGCTATAGGAAAACAAATCAAAACCAAAAAATTGCTATGTTCCCTAAGATAAAACATAAGTAAGTCAACAAAATTAACTTAGTTCATACTTTAAAGATACATAACATAATAGAGTAGACAGGAGACTGGCCTTGGAGTCAAGAAGACTTGTGTTCAAATCCTTCATCTGACATATATTAGTTAGGTGAACTTGGGCAAGTAGTTTAACTTCCCAGTGCCCCATTTATGTCTTCCAACTCTAAGACTATAGCTTATCTGCATCAGACAGAGAGAGAAAAGTAGAGACTTCCCCACATGAGTGAAATCATAAGCCCAACCAAAAAGAAGAAATAAAAATATTTAGAATTGAAAAAGACCTGGGAAATCATCTAGTCCATTCCTCTCATTATTCTGATAGGAATACCGAGGCCCAGAGAGGATAAATGAGTTGTAAGTGTCAGGGACAGGATTCGAATCTAGATATTTAAACTCCAAATCCAGCTTTCTTTCTGCTATATCTTAACTGCCTCCCAGAAGACTTTCTTCTAACCCCATAAGCAAGAAGAACCCATAAACCACTAAGAAAAGTATTTCAGCTTTTTCTTTCTTTTTTTTTTTAATTTTCCTGGTTCAGATGATTACAGATTCCTTGTGCAGGAAAGAGCATGGATCAGAGTGTTGCTGCAAGTGTCTACTTGTCAATCTGTATTTATAGATTTCATGCCAGAATAGAATCATTCTATAATCACAAACATAGAAACACAATCATAGATTCTGAGCAGGAAGGGATCTTAGAGGTTATCTCTCTGGTCCAACACTCTTACTTTTTAGATGAAGAAACTAGACCCAGAGGAGTGACTTGCCAAAGGTCACACATGTAAGAAGTGGCAGCACCTGGATTTGAACCCAGAGCCTCTTATCCTAGATCCAGCACAAGAGACAGCTTTATGGTTTTAAAAATGTGTTTAAGGGCACAAAGCCATTCAAAAGACTTTACAAATGTTGCCAAGCCCTAGATTTGGGGACTAAATATAATGTGTTGGGGTGGGAACCAAGTATGTG